AATCTATCCTTTTTTCAATCAAATCATTGTATATATATATATATATATATATATATATATATATCCCTTTTTTTTTTTTAAAAAAAAAATGGATTAACTTTAACAATTTATAGCCAACCCCCTTAAATGAGGGCCAACATTCATAAACAATATTTTGGGAATTTGGGCATAGTTTTCTAAACTACTTCCTGCTGATTGGGGTGGTACTGGTAATCTAAAGGGGACCCTGTGAAAATTTAGTATTATAGTCAAATCCTGACTGGGGTATTTTGTTCAGCTGGTCCATCTCAGCCAGCAGCCTTGAAGCTGTTTTGGATGTAGAGCTCAGAGGGAACTGTAACAGGCATTCTGAGACATCGGATAATCCAGTCCGTCTGTCTTTATTGGTGTCTCATCCCCTTGTTCTGAAAATATATAGCTGTATAAATATCAACTGCATTGTATGTAAGCCAGTCAAAGATACTTTGTTGCTTTATGTCTGAGCAGGTAAAATATACATTATGTGTCTTGTTACTTTAGGTTTATTTTCCCATGTCAATAGTTAAGATTTCAAAGGATTTTCCTCAATCAAACCTTATTTTCCTTAACCCAGAATGAATCTATAGCCTCTTATTTCCTGTGGATACAAAAACACAACCTCTTCTCCAAAGTGACATACCTTTTTGTTTAAATTTTGGAATTAAGATATTTTTAAAATATATAGATTGATTTAATTCAGTACCTTTTATAATCAAATGTCTCTCAGCAATTAGTCCTTTAACGGCCAAAAAAAAAAATCTAAAGAAAATACAACAACATACATAACCTAGACTCTGTATTTTCCATCCTTATATAATTCATTTTCTTTATATTACTTTATTCCCCTCTCTAAGTACTTTATTATTTTAAATCTATATTTTTATTCTTAGGTTATATATTTCTCTCTTCTCTTTCTCAAGCCTATGCACATTAACCCATTTAGAGGTTTTCTCCTTCTAAATCTGTCTTTACCCTGCATTTGTAATCCTCTTCTGACCATGTGAGTCTTTAAATTGCTAAGGGGGTGTGGCTAGGACCAAAGCCTGCTTTGGTGACTGGCCCCGCCCCACTAGACTTCCTAAGAGACTGTTTCATGGCAGAGATACCAGCGAGAGTCGTGCTTACTGCCTCAACTCTGGCAAGCTGTTGGGGCCAGGCCACCAGTACAAACCAGGCAGCCTCGTCATAAAGGAGCTGTGCCTCTGCTTACCACTAGCAAAAAGAACCTTCCCAAGAAATGTTGCTACCAAGAAGCTGTGCTTGCCTCTGTTCTTTTGTGTGTTTAGTATCCTTTTTTGTTGTTGTTGTTTTGTTTTTTGTTTGTTTAGGTTTTTGGTTTTTTTTAAAGCTTTTTCGGGGTTTATATGAGGAAATTCCCACTGAGTATTTGGGTGCCATATGTAATCAATAGCAGAACTTTCTGTCCCATTCGCCCAATTATACATGGCAGTCGCTTCCCAAATTACCACTCAAAAGCTTATATTAATTATAAATGCTTGGCCGATGGTTTAGGCTTATTACTAGCTAGCTCTTACATTTTAAATTAACCCATTTCTATTATTTTATGGCTTACCAGGTCTTTCACATTTTGCTTCTTGGGCAGATCACAGCATCTGTCCAGATTCTTTGTTTCTTCCCTTCTTCATCTCCATCTTCAGTTTGATTGTGTAGCCTACCTTATTCTGTCTCGCTGTTGGCCAGGTAGCTTTATTATCAACCAGTGACAGCAGGACATATTCACAGCATACCGAATGATATCCTATAGCAACAGTGGGTCTTGTTTTGTAAATTTGTTTGGGGGTGTTTTTGAGGCAAGTTCTCGTTAGAGCTGGGGGTGTAGCTCAGTGGTAGAGCACTTGCCCTGCATTTGCAAAGCTCTGGGCTCAACTGAGTTAATGTCTACCTTATATAGTCCAGGTTGGCCTTAAATTTGCAATATTCCTACTTTGACCTATGGTGGGTTTTTTGTTGTTGTTCATTCTTGCATTTTTGTTGTAAAACAATTTATTTTTATTATGTGTATACATTTGTATCTGTGTGTGGGTTTGTGTACATGCATACAGGTGTCAGATCCCCAGGTAATTGTAAGCCACCCATCATAGGTACTGGGAACCAAACTCAGGTCCTCTGTAAGAGCTCTTAACTGATGTGCCATCTTTCCAACCTGCTTTTGTTTGCTTGCTTGCTTGTTTGTTTTGAGACATTGTCTTACATTGACAGTGTAACTCAGGCTAGCCTGGAACTCCTTCCTAGTGCTGGGATTACAGACACGATTGCCATGCTTGACTCTAGTCTATTTAACTGTTATCCCATACTCTTATATACTATATACATAATATTGTCTTAGTTGCTTTTTTGTTCCTGTGAAGAGACACCCTGACCAAAGCAACTCATAAAGGGAAGCATTTAATTGGTGGCTTGCTTATAATTTCAGCAGTTTACTCCATTATCATCATGGTGAGGAACATGGCAGCATGATGCTGGAGAAATGCTTGAGAGCTATATCTTGATCCATAGGCAGAGAGAGAGAGACATTGGGCATAGCGTGGGCTTTTAAAAACTCAAAGCCAGTTTGTCAGTGGTGGCCCACACCTTTAATCCCAGCACTTGGGAGGCAGGGGCAGACAAAACTGTGAGTTCAAGGCCAGACTGGTCTACAAAGTGAGTTCCAGGACAACCAAGGCTACACAGAGAAATTCTGTCTCGAAAAACAACAACAAAAAAGAAAATCCAAACCCCACCCCAGTGATAACATTTCCTTTAATAATTCCATACCTACTCAAATAAGACCAACAGATAAGGAAGGAAGGTGGGCATCATAGTACACGCCTGCAGTCCCAGCCCTCGGGAGGTAGGAGGATGGTCAAATGTGAGTTTAGCCTGGGCTGTATTGTGAGTTCCAGGCCAGCCTAGATTACATGAGACCCTGACTCAAAAAAGCAATGGCCAGGTGTGGTGGTAAACACCTGCAATCCCAGCACTTGGAGGCCCAGGCAGACAAAAATGTGGAAACCAGAGACATCTTCCAAAGGGCAATAACCTGCCTAAGGTCCAGGCTTATGGTTGGATCCTGTCTGTATTCAGGGTGCGTACTCTTTGGACCCCTTTACCTCTTTGGGGGTTATTTGTCTGTTTGTTTTATTTATTTATTTTGGTTCTGAGGGTTTCTCTGTGTAACCCTGGCTGTCCTGGATCTCACTATATAGATCAGGCTGGCCTTGAATTCACAGAGAGCTACCTGCCTCTGCCTCTCAAGTGCTGGGATTAAAGGTGTGCACCATTGCCACATGACTAGGAGTCATTTTTAAATTAATGTTTTAAAAGATTTGTTTTTATTATATATCTGTGTGATAGGTGCCTCTTGTGTGTTCACCAAAGCCAGAAGCGGGTCAGATTTCCTGGAGTAGTTAGAGTTACAGATCATTGTAAGCCACCTACCATGAATGGCAACCAGACTTTCTTTCTTTCTTTTTCTCTTTCTTTCTTTCTTTTTCATTTTTATTGAGCTCTACATTTTTCTCTGCTCCCCTCCCCTTCAACCCTCTCCCATGGTCCCCATGCTCCCATTTTACTCAGGAGATCTTGTCTTTTTCTACTTCCCATGTAGATTAGATCTATGTACGTCTCTCTTAGGGTCCTCATTGTTGTCTAAGTTCTCTGAGATTTGTAGGCTGGTGTTCTTTGCTTTATGTTTAAAAACCACTTATGAGTGAGTACATATGATAATTGTCTTTCTGGGTCTGGGTTACCTCATTCAAAATGATGTTTTTTAGCTCCATCCACATTTGCCTGCAAATTTCAAGGCGTCGTTTTTTTCTGCTGTGTAGTACTCCATTATGTAAATGTACCACATTTTCCTTAACAATTCTTTGGTCAAGGGGCACTTAGGTTGTTTCCAGGTTCTGGCTATCATAAATAATGCTGCTATGAACTTAGTTGAGCACATGTCCTTGTGGCATGGTTGAGCATCCTTTGGATATATACCCAAAAGTGGGCAACCAGACTTTGTGCAGGCACAGGAAGCTCTTGACTGAGTTCTTTCTCCGACCCTTAGGGTCATTTTTAAAAGTTATGTAGAGAGATGGCTTGACTGTTAAGAGCATTGGCTGCTCTTCCAGGTGATCCAGGTTCATTCCCAGTACCCACATTGCTCTTCACAACCATCTGTAACTTCAGTTCCAGGGGATCTGACACCCTCTTATGGCATCTGAGGGCACCAGGCACTCATGGTACACAGATACATGTGTAGGCAAAACACCCATAAACATAAAATAAAAATAATTTTGTGTATGTGTGTTCATGTGGAAGTCAGGACAGCTTATGAAATGTTTTCCCTTTCCATTGTCATGTGACTTCTGGGGTCACATTTACATTGTCAGGCTTGGGTGGCAAGCTCTTTACCTTCTGAGCTATCTTGCTAATCCACTTTGGGTCATTTTTACTATGTGCTAAGAATGTTTGAGGCTGCTTTTAAAATTAAGATGGCCCAGTGCCAGGTGTGACATTCATGCTTACAATAGCATGCCAGGTGACTGAGGCAGAGGACTGCCCTTAGTTTGAGGGTATGGAGTAGGATTTTGTCTAATACAAAAGAACTCTGAAAGATGTGGCATACATATATATTAAGGTGGCTAAAAATTCTGGTTTTCTTAGGGGGTGATGAGATGGCTTAGCAGGTGAAGGCAATGTGAGTTTGAACTGTGAACTTCAAGAGGCAGAACAAGAAAACCAACTGCCATAGGTTGTCCTCCACATACACCTCCTCTCCCCTGAATTAAATTTTTAAAAGACAATGTATGGGGAGTTAATTTCTAAAGTGACAAAACCAAAGAAAATTCAACAGGTAAAATGTTTGGCCTACCAGAGAAAATGTTCCAGGTGGGAGAAATGGGGTCGCATCCCCTGAAAGAAGACACCATCTTCCCTCCCAGAATACAACTAGGACTTGCTACCAAGTATTTACATTTGATTTCTCTCTGTAGATTGCTGCTAAAATTGATTCAATTCCTCACTTGAATAATTCCACACCCCTGGTGGACCCCTCAGTGTACGGATATGGAGTACAGAAGCGGCCCCTGGATGATGGAGGTAAGTTGCTGTAAACGGCTCACCTTTTTGATGGCAGTGAACCTGCCAGTTATTTTGAGTGTGTGTCAGCTGTTTCCGAGCAGTTCTCCAGCATCACATTCTTAGAGGAACGGTGAAGAGCAAGTAGTTAGGGTGATTTTTCTTTGCAATTGGCTGGCATTTGAGTTCCTATTTGCCTTGATAATACAGGAATCTTTTCAGCTGGGCTCCACAGTAAAGACTTGGCCTCAGCGTCCACTTGGAAGTAATTTGACCCATTTGAGAATTGTGTTTGATTTAGTTCTCAGTTCCTCTGTTACTTGCATAGGAATTGAAGTTACTACTTTTGTGAAATACTAAGATTTGGTGCAAGTCCTGGGGAAGCTGTAGTTGAGTTGACCTCTAAGAAAGGGCATACTATTGACCTTTACAGTCTCTGCCAGCTTTTACCATTCCCATTTGTTTCTGGCGTGTGGTTGTTGTTGTTTTTTTTTTTTAATCAGCATGTACTTACTAAGTTCCATGGTGATATTTTTAGATATGCATTTTACATACTTTAACCATATTCCCGTCCATCTTCCGCACCCATCTCTGAGCCATCATCTTCCCCGATCGTCCCCAGATACCTTCATGTGTGGCGGACTCTTTTTAGAAACATCCATTTTCATTCATTTGTTGGTTTATATTCCAACTCAGAGTGTCTGTCACCAGTGCTCCAACCTTCTGTTGGTCACAGAGTTCACACTTGCTTTGCCCTTTCTTCTGTGGAGCACACTGTGAGGGTGGTGAAGTGCACAGAATTACTCGTGGGTTTGCATATAGCTGATGGGACTGTCTGTTCTGCTTGCCTTTCTGTTGATCTGCGTACATAGCCAATTGTGTATAGATACTTCTGTGATGTGTTGTTAAGAAGGAAAAGCCCACCAAAGTTTAGAATATTGTGTTCTGTAATCTTTTCAAAAGAGTGTGTGTTTTTTGTTTGTACATCACTCTGGCTGGCCTGGAACTCACTATGCAGACCAGGCTGGCCTTAAATTCAAAGATATACTTGCCTCTGCATATTGAGTGTTGGTATTAAATGCATAAGCTGCTATGCCTGACTTGAGTGTTCGTTCGTTTGTTTTAAGACAGGATTTCACCGAGCAGTGGTGGTGCATACCTTTAATCTCAGCACTTGGGAGGCAGAAGCAGGTGGATCTCTGTGAGTTTGACGCCAACCTGTCTTTTGAGGCTGACTCTTCTGACTCCAGACTCTTTTGAGAGTGAAATTTCTTGTCAATTTAAAAACAAAACAAAAAAAAAAAAAACAATTCATGGGCTATGGAGATAGGTAGCTCAGCACCTGATGACCTGAGTTCAGTCCATGGAAGGAGAGAATTGATTGTCATAATTTGTCCTCTGAACTCCAACAATGCATCTCTGCATGCATGCGTACAAAATACATTAAAAGAAACAAAAACAAAAGATGGGCAGTGATGGCCCACGCCTTTAATCCCAGTACTTGGGGAGGCAGAGGATGGAGGCTCTCTGGGAGTTCAAGGCCAGCCTGGTCTACAGATTGAGATCCAGGACAGCCAGGGCTACACAGAGAAACCCTGTCTCATAAAACAAACAAAAAAGACAAGCTGTTTGTGATCTCACACAGACGTTCATCTCGGTTGTCAGAATGCAGGTAATCTTTTAAATTGCTGCTGCTAAGTGTGCACTATGTTCTCTTTGTTTTTGTAGAGTGATTTCTTAGATCTGGTGTGGCTGAGTGTGTTAAGGGCAGTTTTGCCCAAGTGAGGAGAGTGACTCGGAGAAACCCTTCCTTTTCCAGGGCTTTGTTCTTTGTTTGCTCCTGTGGGACGTCAATACAAAAATAAAATGGAGTTGTCTGACTCTGAGCACAGATCTTCTTAATGGATGATATCTCTAGCCCAGTGTTCCCAGAAACTGTGATCAATCACTTTACAGTTTGCCCAGTCCTGTCTAGCAATTCAGCCTGTGGAATCGAAGTGTGAAAAGTTGAGTATTTGCTAGTAAAACCCTCTGGCACTTTTAGGATATTTTTCTCCTGTTTGAAAGAAATCAGTAGACATTCTGAATTTATCAATTAAAAAGTACAGCATAACAAGCAGATATGGGTGCTGGAAACAGAATCTCAAGGAAAGACCAGACTCACATAAAATCCCAAGTTCTTACTATAATGCATATATTTTCACTTCTTTTATTTGTTCAATCTGGTTTTTGAGATAGTCTCACTTTGTATCCCTGGCTATCCTGGAACTCACATTGAAAAACAGACTAGCCCAGAACTCTGAGAGATCCACCTGTCTTTGCCTCCTGGGTGCTGAGATCAAAAGGCAAGTGCTACCATGCCCACTTGGCGTTTGTTTGTTAGAGGGTAGCATAGGCTGGCCTTCAAATTGCCATGTGTAAGGTTAAGAAGGACTTCATCTTGGGTTATATAGTGATTGGAGGTGGATGAAGTTCTTCCTAACCCCACTGTCTCTACTTCTCAGGGACTATAGACATGCACTACCATGTCTGCCTTCTTACCTTCTTCTGAAATATACAGTTTCTGTGTCTGCTGTTGGCGAGTAGGTCCTTGAGGACAGACAGCTAACCAGTATAGCTCGCTCCCTTGCCCTTCCTCTTCATGGTTGCTTTCTTAGTTCGGAAGTATCAGGGAGAGTGCAACTGCATCCTGCTAGGTCTCCCGTACCTCTGCACACCTGCCTCCTCACAACCTTGAGGAACAAGATATTACCCTCGGGTGGTCTGCGCTATGCATTACAGTTTGATCAAATAATCCTCTTTGTTAAATGGCTTAGGAACATTGTTTATTTTTCTCCATTGCTCTCTGAGTTTGGAATTTGGGTTTTCTGATGAGCTGAGCAAGAACCCTGAAAATTGGACCTAGTCTTGGCCTCACCCTCATCTTCTCACTTCCCAGTGACTATGAATAAGGTCATTAGGTCAGATCTGGGGAGCTGTGTCCTGTGTAGAAGGAGAGAGAATTAAGCATATACAGGACTATACAGTCCGAAGTATTCTGTATGGAAAGGAACAGGTCAGCACATTCTAGGGAATGGCAGTAGTGAGCACTCCCTCAGATGACTTCTTTGTTTTTTAGTGACTTAAAATTTTATATACATTGGTGTTTTAGTTGCATATTTGTGAGTGTGTGGCAGTGTTAGATCCCCTAGAACTGAGTTACAAACAGTTGTGAGTGGGTGCTGGAATTGAACTCAGGTCTTTTTAAGAGCAGTCAGTGCTCTTAACCTCTGAGCCACCTCCATCCCTTGAGATGGCCAGCCTCTTAAGCCCGCTTAGTCCTGCAGAATAGCAGCTCAGCTCACCAGGCCTGCCTCAGTGTTCTTCCCTGGCCTCTTAGTCTTTTTGAGGCAGAAGTAGGAATTGGGTTCATCATGTAGCTCAGTCAGTCACACACTTATCACTTTCTTTTTTAAAGATTTATTTATTTAATGTATATGAGTGCTCTATCTGCATGTATACCTTTGTGTCAAAAGAGGGCATCAGATCCCAGTATAGATGGTTGGGAGCCACCTTGTGGGTGCTGGGAATAGAACTCAGTCCTCTGGAAGAGCAGCGGTCGATGTACTTAACCTCTGAGCCATCTCTCCAGCACCACTCATCACACTTTTACCATATGTGTGGTATACTTGTGTGCACAGAGGTCAGAGGACTCTATTTACATTTACATGTGGGCTCATGGATCAAATTCAGGTCATCAGGCTTTATGATAGGTAAGTCATCTTGATAAACCGTGGTGGTCCCAAACCCTCAAATCCTTCACTCTGAAGGCTGTTACCCACATGTTCTCCGTCTTTGGGATACACCGTTGACAGTCCATCAGTTTGGAAATCCCTGCTCTCAGTTGCAGTGCTTTCCTGTCAGACATTTACACATGCTGAGGTGGGCAGCTCCCAGAACTGTTAGGGTTCTCTCCTAAGCCCAGATCCCCCCTTGCCTGGCTGTCAGCCTCTCCTTCTGCAGCAGCCTGCTCAACGGCTGCTTCTCTGCTCTGCCTTCATCTAGTCCCCCAGCCTCGGTTGGTGCTGTCCTACTTGGTGTTAGATTGCAAGGTTGATGTGACTTCTTCTAGAAACAGTCTTCATCTAGGCTTAGCCCTAGTGTTGAGGAGCTGGATTGGTTGCAGTCAGTGACAGTCCTGTCATGAGACTGTCCATGAGGACTGTAACGACGTTTTTAAGGGTTGAGATTATAGCTCAGTGATAGAGCTAGGCTGAGGCCCTAAGTACAATCTCCAGCACTGCCACAAAAAAGAAAGGAAATGCTCTTACTTTTAAAACTATCACTTGCCAGGTGGTGGTGGCGCACGACTTTAATCCCAGCACTCAGGAAGCAGAGGCAGGAGGATCTCTGTGAGTTCAGGGCCAGCCTGGTCTATAAGAGCAAGTTCCAGGACAGGCTCCAAAGCTATAGAGAAACCCTGTCTTGAAAAACAAAAACAAAAACTATCACTCATGAGTGAGTTAAATCCTGTTTCCATCAGAACTAGTCATTATACACATTATAATAACACATAACTGAAATAAGAGATGAAATGTAAACCTTCTCTGTGTGATAAGTTGGTTTTTAAGAAAGCTGGGCCCCCTGGGCTGGAGAGATGGCTCAGCGGTTAAGAGCATTGACTGTTCTTCCAAAGGTCCTGAGTTCAAGTCCCCGCAACCACATAGTGGCTCACAACTATCTGTAATGAGGTCTGATGCCCTCTTCTGGCCTGCAGGCATACATACAGACAGAATATTGTATACATAATAAATAAATATAAAAAGAAAAAGAAAAGAAAGCTGGGACCCCATATTAATCATGGGAGGAAGGCTTAGTGCTGTGCCAATAGCTCAGACCACTGTTGTTCACTCACTATTACTCGGTTGCCTCGTGGGTCAGGCTTGGCTTTAAGGGTTTACTGGCGGAGGGGTACAGGTTCTTATCATCTTTGACCCTCCAGTTGAGTTAGTGTACACTGGACTCTTAAGCACCTGAATGTGTTTAATAGTTGTAGGTGAGGAATAACATAATATTACAGGATGAGGTGCCATTCAATGGTTATATACTAGTCTTGTATTCAGGAGAGTCTGGGTTCCATCCTCAGCACCTTCTAAACAATGATATGAAAGTGCCAGGATAAATGGTAGAACTGCATGCAGAGCCCACGTAGATCCAGGCAGTTGCAGTGAGTGTGCAGGTGTCCTGTGCTCTGCCCTGGAAGGCTGCTAATGACAGCATCTCCATGGTAGTGGGGAAAGCAGGTGCAGCAGGGGTAGTGCCTCATGTAGCTGATGCTGGTGGTCTTTTCTACTCATGGACAAACAAGAGTGATACTGAAACAAACTTGAATTTGCAGTTTTTGATGATAGCTTCAAACTCCTGGTTCTTTCTTTACCTCCAAAGTGATGAACTAACAGGCATGTGCCTACCTCATTCTTACTTTGTATTTTAGTTAGCAGGCAGTTGCACGGGGGAGGGGTGTGAGAGGGTGTGGTGTCTTCAGAGAATGAGAAAGCCGAGGGTCAGGAGAGTCATGCTTGGGATTTGGTCAGTATCCACAAAAGGGATTGGTGGCTGGGCAGAACCTACACGTGCTGAGTTAGGACTCAGGAAAGAAGGCAGGTTTAACAGTGAGGAACTGTTAAATAGCTGCCTGTTCTTTCTTTGTTGAGGGTGTCACCAAATACACCAGCCTAGCCTAGACCCTCAGTTCTCAAAAGTAAGTGATTGGAGGCTAGGCATGGTGGTTCATAACTTTTGTCTCAGCACTCAGGAGGCAGAGGCAGATGGATCTCTGTGAATTCAAAATCTACAGAGTGAGTTCCAGAACAGCAGAGGGATATATGGATAAACCCCGTCTCAGAAAAACAAGACAAACAAGCAAACAAAAAAATAGTTGGCAAAATCAGTAATAGATTACTTGCCCAAGACCTTTCAGCTGGGCTCAGCAGAGAAGTGCTCTGTGGTTTGGAACAGGAGTTGCTATATAGGACACAGGAAGCCTTTGTGTCCCCCTCAGCCACCTGGGTATCACTGTCCTTAACTGAGACGAGGAAAGGGCCAGTTATGGTTAGAAGAAACAAAGGGGCGGGAGGGCCAGAGCATGGAAAGGAATGTTGAGAAACCAAGAGGAGGGCTGGGGAGGTTGCTCAGTGGGTAAAGCACTTGTGTGAGAGCATGACAGCCTGAGGTCTTGTCCCCAGCATCCCTATAAAGCTGGGCTCAGTGTGCAGTGTCTGCAATCCCAGCACTCCCTGGGAGCTCAAAGGCCTGTTAACCTGGAGTGTGCACCAGTGACCTGAACCTCCATGAAGTCTGTGCTACACGGGAAGGTGCTCTTGGACACAAATACAGCACACTAAAAACAAAAATCTGAAGAGGAAATTGGTTTTGTTTTTGCTGAGCATAAAAATTCTGCCATTTTTCTCTCTGGAGCTGCACATTGGTATCTACCCAAGTACCTGGTGTCTGGGGGCAAGAACAGATGATTATTCAAGTTGCTGCTTGTTATAAAGTTGGTTAGTTGGCCGGTGATACTTTCCTAGCATTTCTTTGCAAGGGACAAAAACAAGGTACCTTTTAAGGTTATTGCTGAAATTGGCAATGTTACTCTTCAGAAATAATTTCTTATTGTCAGCTATCTCATAGCTGAGAAGTTTATTCTCTCTCAGCATCCCAGGCAGTTTCCAGTGTTTGGTGTGGGGGTCAGTGAGGACCACCCTGTGTGTAGGTGTGCTGGAACTGAGCTGAGGGGACTTGGGAAGTAAGACGCCTCCTTAGTGTGACCCTCTCCTGAGGAGACCCAAGAGGAGCATGTTAATTGCATGTGCAGTACCCAGTGTCCTTTCTTACTGTTGGTTCCATTTTTAGGCACCCAATAAGATAGATGCATGGAACCACACGTTGTCCTTGCATGGAGAGGGAAGAGAATTTGGGCTTCTCAGTCTGCCTGAGGCCAAATAATGACTTGATGAAATCTGGTCTTGTCCTTTGCTGTGACCCTTGAAGGCTGTGTATTTGGGAGTGATGGTGTGTGCAGGTTTGGTTCCAGTGTTTGGGAGCTCCTCCGAGTGTCAGGGAAACAGAATGATGCTGTGTGCATGGCTAGTGACGTGTACCTTTGCCAACAAAAAGGAATTTCTGTTGCCGTGAGCACAGGCTGTCACTGAATGGTGTTTGAACAGAAGCTCTGGAGTGTTCCGGTGAGTCTCACAGGGTTCTTTGTGGCCAAGTTGCCCTTTGCTGTGTTCCTGTGGCTTCTCTGAGCTGGAGACCTGCAGTCTTCATGCAGCTCTCACTGGGGACGGCATTCACTTGTGGGTGTTTAGCTCTTCCTGTGTTCAGTGGACTCTTCATCCTCTAGTAGAGGAATTCTGATGGAAATCGAGGAAGCTGTCCTTGAAATCTGTGTGTAACTAAGGCTGGCACAGCCTCTTGAGTACTGGAGTTACAGGGGCTAGAGCGGCTGTGCAGCCCCACAAGCCTCTACCCTCGCCCTTCTCTTTGGTATTTTGGTGGGGGACAGTTTTTGGGCAAAGCCGATGATGGGGGTTCCTCTCCTAAGCTGGAGAGTGTCCAGTTTTCATGTGAATGGAAATCGAGCACTGGGTAAGGATAAAGAAAGTTTAGGAGTCAATTAAAAACAACTCTCTTCCCCTGAGATAAGCGACTTACAGTGTGCAGTGTCTGTGCTTTGGTTGCAGACTGTCATCTTGCTATTGATCCAGATGGAATATGGTATTTTTTTTCTGGATCAATAGCTTCAATGAACTCAGTAGTTTACTTTTGCTATATTGTTTCTCTGCTTTCTCTCCTTTTAGGATGTCATGATCTGGTTTGCTTTTGTTTGTCCCTTTATGGGCCTCTAACTGTCCAGAGGATGGCAGGGGAAACTGGACAGGAAACAGCAGTTGGCCTTCTTAAGCCTTCTCACTTTTCCAGACGTTGGTGTGATTGATGCTTCCCGCTTTCCCCAGAGACATATTTTTGAATGCTCTTTTAGCATCTCGAAAGGTCCATTCAGTTCTTGGGTTTATAGTCTCCCTTTGTCTGCTGGCTGTATTTCTTGAACTGCATTTTCCAGAAGAGAAACAGCACAGAACCATTTCTGCTGATGGCTGGTGAAGGAGGGGCGCATCAATAGCTGAGAGACAGAAACTAGACCAGGGAGCTTGGCAGAGCCACTCTGGGAATGTGGTTTGCAGAGTCAGTTCTAACAGTGAGAGCCTGTTGGCACTCAGCTCTGTGAAATTGACTAGAGAAGCTGCAGCAGGAGGGAGGAACCTGGTCCCTTCTGGTGCTGTTCTAGGTGGGGTGGGAGATGTCAGAACAGGAACATATGTGCATGTTCTTAGTGACTGCAGCTGCCATGGGGCAGTCCTCAGCAGTGCTTCCAAGGAGATAAATCTTCTCATTTGCTTTTAAAAGAGCAGGAAGACCTGGTGTATCTATGTTGGGTTTGGATGCCAAGCAGTAGGGAGCGGGCAGGATTTAGACAGACAGGCTTCCTTCCTAGGCCTCTCAGCATGTGGACACGCAGATCAATTTCTTATCCTTCGTTCAGCTGGACACTGGGTTAGAGACTGTTGAACAAGACGTCCCCTCCTGTTTCATATCACATAACGCATTCATTTCAGCCACTGAGCCTAAATTACTGTTTGCTTTCTTTCTGCCTCCCTCCCACCCCCTGAACAGTAAGAATGCGGGTAAGGATGAAGTTAGTTTATCCGTACTAATGCTTTGATTTTTCTTTTCTCTTTCTCTTTGCCACAGTAGGTAACCAGTTAGGGGCCTTGGTACATCAAAGGTAAGCAGTGGGTTATGTTTTATTATTTATTGATCATTTCTAATTGTTTATTGATCCACCATCTGCACTGGAGTGTTAGCAAGTCAGAGGTTGGGAGTGTGGGAAGCCAGGGGCTAGATTTCCTTAAGACCCATGGTTTCTGCCAGCCCTCTCCAAAACAGAGAAGCAGACTGACTGAGGCACTAAGCCAGCCCCTGTTGGGCCTCAAGAGACTTTCACAATGGTGGAGTTGCTCTCTTCCACTGTAGATTAAATTTGAAAGGAGGGAGTGCATTGTCCTGCTGGTTCTGTGAATCTGCCAGTGCCTCAGGATCTCAGCCTCTTCACAGAAGAAGAATGCAGTTCTCTGTGAACAGAGCGTGTGGGTCTTCAGAAGCAGGATGTGCCTGAGATTGGGCTTGTTGGAAAATCTTGGCTTTAGTGCCTAGTTTCTTCTCTCCCTCTCTTCCCCCATAACCTTCCAGTAAGTTGAGGATTTAGATTAAAAGACCTTGGCTATAAAAGGGCCCATCTGTGCGATAAGAGTATCTGGTTGTAGCATCACCTACAGGAAAGGGGAACGTGCCCAGGAAACTGCTGCTTCTGCTCTGCAGACTGTAACTGTCAGTTATGTCCTTAATCTGCACTGCCAGTGACACAGTTCTGTCCTCCGTGTTCTACATGAGTGCTGGGGATTCTAAACATTACCAAGAGTCAGTTAAATGGAAGGTTTAGACTCATTTTTTGTTTGCATTGTTTTGTTTATTAATGAGTTAAAATAACTTATGTGAGGTTGTTAGTATAAAATGCTGATAAGCATTTCCTGTTAAACTGTAATTAGCATGTTACTTTTCCAGAATGCCTATTCTTAGTGCCTTAGACCAGTTTCAGCCTTGCCTTCAGAAGAGAACCTTTGAGCTGGGTGTGGTGTCATATGACTATGCCTGCACTCGTGGGGCATAGATGGGTGTCTTTGATTCCAAGACAAGTCTGGTCTATATAGGAAGTTCCAGGCCAGCCAGAAGTACATAGAGGGCGATTAGAGGGGAGTTAGAGATCGAGACTGATTGCCAGAGTTATTTGCGAGGACTGAGGAATTGCCCAGCTCTGTGGTATTCTCCACTGTGTATGTTGTTTAAGGGATCTTGTTGGGATTGGTTTTGTTCTCAGGGCTGGGGATGTGTGTAAGACTGCCAGCAAGCATGCTAGGCAAGTACCCCATACAGGACTGACCCAGTCCTGACATCACCCAATGTGCTCGTGTAGGTGGCACTCTAGTCGGTTCCTGTGGACAGCTTTTGCTCCATAAACAGGCAGAGTGCTCAGCTATGTACAAGATGCCCTGGCCCTGACAGCTGCACTGGCGCACATCCTGACAGGCCTAGCCTCTTTTGGGGGTCATTAGGTCTTGAGGGCTTTTGGATGCAAGGAATTGGACCCATTAGGATTGGGTGAAGCATGCCTGTGTTGCCCAAGACGGGGAGAGGGATGGGGAAAGACCCGTTTGTACACAGGCTGAGGGTGGCTTCTGTCCCAGCCTTGTGGTAGCAGTGCTGTTTATGCTGTTGGATTTCTTCTAAGTGCTGCACTCCCCTAAAAACGTGCACTGTATCTGATCCTTTCTCTGATAACTAAAAATCTAGCTGTGTGGGAGATACTTAAAAATGTATGCTTTTTAAAAACTACTTGTATTTAGCATCCCCTAAGGTAAATGTTTAGATTTAATTGCTTTCCAGGGTGCTGGGCAATTGGATATTGTCCACAATACACTGCATGCTACATTTCAAAGTTTATTTGAAAGAGCCAGTGGAGTCTTTTTTGTTTTTTTTTGAAGGCACCTGATGGACAGGATCATATTTAACAAGAGTCTCTCACAGCATGAGGGAAGCGATAATACTGGCCTAGCCAGCACTGATTAGGCTCTGCGGGATGCTGGTTTTCTTGGGCACATACTACCTTAGAAGACGTAGGTATATTGGAAAGAGGCCAGGAAACAAAAAGATCAGGAGATCCAAAAAGTTGGCCCTGTTTTTATCTAAAGAGCACACCCTAATAGGTGTCTGAACCTCTTTCTAAATCCTAGCAGATCTTTAACTGTCCTGGGGTTGATAGCCCATCTGGTAGACCCTGCCATGAGATTACAGCTGTATGTAGAACAGCTAGGGAAAGAGTTGGTTTAAGAATCTGGATGCTTCTCCTCTGACCAGAGGGGGAAGACTTGGGTGTTCTCAAGGCATGCTTGACCAAAGGAACTTGGAAATGATACTCTCCATGTGCCTGAAAGGGCAAAATCAGCATGATTTGTTGTAAGCTTTTACTCTTGGGGATCTAAGGTGGTTGCCGAATTTTGAATTCTGACTTATTCTTTAAAAACGTTGTTTGTTTTTAGGACAGTAATAACAGAAGAATTCAAAGTACCCGATAAAATGGTTGGATTTAGTAAGTATCTGCATTGTCTTTTCTCTTACTCTTGGTCTGTTACAGTCTCTTAGGAACATGTCACCTGTGGAAGAATGCTGTTGGGAGTGTGGCAGGCATTGGGGTCAATAGAGTCAGAGCATTTGTGCCTGGCCACCCCTAGCTATGCTCACCTCAGCTAAAGTACGGTTACCTGCTGGTGTCACATGTAGCTTCTGTTACTTTGATGCCCAGGAGTTGAGATGGGCTCCATAGGTCAGCTTGTAGTGAACTATGAGCAGAACATAAATGTTTGCTGGGTTAATTAAGCTATCCATGCATGATTAAGTGTGGAAAGGGGGTTACATTCTGACCCTGCTCGTTTTGTTGCAGTTATTGGCAGGGGAGGTGAGCAGATTTCACGAATTCAAGCAGAATCTGGTTGCAAAATTCAGATTGCCTCAGGTAAGGACTGCTTTTTCTCATAGATTTGTTCAGTAGAAATCAATGTTACAGATTTTCCAGATTCAGTGTCTTTACTTTTTTGGTAGAAGCTAGGGTAAGTATGTGTGGTTGCTGTCTGTTTTGTACTTATGCACTGGAGCACCAGAACAGAAGCCAGCCTGGAGATGAGGTTCATGCCTGCCTTCTAGGACAGCAGTCAACTCTGGCCATCATGGCCTCTTCTGACACCTGCCGGCTGGGCTAGCACCTATGTTTTCTGCACCAGAATGTGATGCCAGGCATAGTGAGTGGGGCCTGCACCCAGCTTCCCTGTACAACTACCCTTCCATTTTGTGGAGAGAGGACAGTAGGGATCCTAACTGATTGAGTGTATGTCAGACACCTTTCAGGACCTCTCTCAACATGGTCAGTGTTGATCATGTGATGTTGAAGAACAGTTTTTATCTGTAGTTTTATTATGTCATCTGAGTATGTCTTCTTTCCATTTGAGAGGAAGAGTCTGGGGACATTCCAGTAGAAGATGTTTGTTGTTTATGACAGTAGCCAGTGAGTTATGGCTACTCACTGCCATGTCTGAAGGCTGTAATTGCTGTCAGCTATTTGTCTTGAGAATTTTGTTTGCTCGTTTTTACAGTGACAGTGCTGGGGACTGAAAACAGAGCCTCACTAGGCTAGGAAACGCTGCATCCCCAGTTCTCTCAGCGAGTTTTTAGGGTTAGTCTAAAACCTCATGTGGGTATTGGAAGCAAAGGTTTTCCTCTCGTGTCAAATGGTCCAGGACCCGTGCTTTATTTCTACTGCCAATCTCTTGGGATATGGATACAATAACTGGTATAACCTGATGTGCTTATGAAGTCCTTACGAGTACTCAGAGCAGTCTACAGACCTGTGGCCATGAGACTGCTCTGCAGACAGAGCGAGGAAAGCATGAAGTGACTGAGGTGCTGCGGAGCCAGCCTCTGGGCAGGCCAGAGTGAGTGGAGCTTGGCACTTAGGACCAACTCTCAGAGCTCTGCTGTGTCCTTCTGGCTCCCCCATGGGACTCAGTCTCTATGTTGAGAACTAAAGTTCTGTCCCCCAGCAAAGTAAACTGGTCTTTTTGGGAGACTGTGCTTCTGTGGGGGTGGTGTAGGAACCAGCCCCAGAGAGACAGTCTACACACAGAGGCAAAGGCACACGGTTGCCTGATGCCCACCAACACATCTCATCTTCTTGATTCTTCTTATAGAGAGTTCTGGGATTCCAGAGAGGCCCTGTGTACTTACCGGAACCCCAGAAAGTATTGAGTAAGTTTGTTTTATTTACTTTTTCCTTTTACTCTTCTTCCTCCTTCCCCAAGTGAGGAGAAATGGAAGGGCAAACTGTTGCTGCAGACTGTCGGTCTGTGCTGAATCCGCCACACAGCACACCTCCAGTAGGGGAAAGGCCTGGGAGGTTGCCACGCCAGGAGAGCTCTTCTCTTACCTCAGACACAAACTTAGAGCCTCTCAGCTGTTGTGGCTCCGCCATGAACCAGGGACTCGGCAGTGGACACTCACCGTGGCCAACCATCTCCTTGTTAACACCTCCCATACCGGAACAGACCTGGGTCAAGGGACTGTAAGCAACAGAGAACTGGGCACCAGACCTTTTTCCTGGACTGATTGGTCCGCTTACCCTTCTGATATTTGTGAACCAAGTGAATCCACTCTTTGTGGCCTTTTCTCCACTCACAGAGCCTTGTGAATCAACCAGCAGGTGCCTTGGCTTTGAAGGCCCCTTGGCAAGAGCCCTGATAATTTGCCTTGATTTCCTGTCCTGGTACATGCTTGCTCAGGGCCCTGTACCAAACACAGGCTCATAAACCCAAGCACTTCCTGGGGAGGAGGACTGTGCGGGCTGGAGTGGTTCTCATTCCTCTTTCAGTCTGTACAGTAGTGTTTCACTAGGGGATGGGGGAGCTGAGATTATGTCTGGCTCAATAGGTAGGGTTGTTTTATTGTTTCCATTTCTCAGGGAGCCTAGATGGGTTTAAATTCTCTTGTTCTGCTGTAACATTGCAAGCAGTGAACCAGAATAAATATCACTGGCAGGTGTGCATTATAGGGCAAGCTGGATGGTTTTGCTGGAGTCGCAGCATTTTTTTTTCCAGCACAGGTTAATCTAGTACACTAGCAAAATACTAAAAAGCTGCTGCAGCTGAGGGCCCACAAGACGATTCTTCACACAAAGGCTCAAGACTGCAAAAAGACTGCATATCCTTCCTACTCTTCTAAGCGGTCCTACTTTGTATCTACCAGAGGAGTTGAGGCTTGAGAATTATACTTCAGGAAGAATCTCTTTCTCCAACACAGCCAGCCTGTCTGGTTGCTGAATCTGTCAGAGGAACCAAAAAAATAGATGGTGCGTGATTTAGAAAATAAATTCTGCAAATAACTGCCAGGGAAGATTCTGGTGCAGAAAAGGAAATTGGCCCAGCATACGACATGGGTAGACTGGGTTGTACTGTTGTCACATTGCAGAAATGAAGACAGATAGTGGGGTGAAGCACAAAGTTCCTACTGGGATGGACCAGTCAGGTGTTCCCTGGAATACAGCTGCAGCAGGACACTGCCCCTTGTGTCCTGAAACCACTGGCGATGTTGTGGGTGTAACTGGAAGTTCTAAAGCAGTGTTGCTGACCACAGGGAGACATTGGAATTGAGGAGCACAAGCGTGGTTACTAACCCTTGCTTTCTTCCGTCTTTCTCATCGCTCCTTCTCTTCCCCCACCCTCGTTAACAAGCGTGCTGAGTGGTTTTCTGTGAGGATTATGCTGGATTAGGGAACAAGAGAGATGGGCAAAGAAATAAAGAGGAGATTGCTGCCACCAAAGCTGCTGATATTCAAAGTAGGAAGCATGACATTGTGACGCAAGCAGGAGCAGAGGGCATACATGTAGGGGATGGGGTCTGTCAGTGGCCTGCTCTTAGAGACTCCACCTGGAAACTGTAGTGATGTGGTGTGGTGTGTGTTGCTTTTGAATTACAGTTCTGTAGCATGGCGAATGGTTCAGACCTCCCAGGTTGTGAGGCAGGAGCTGGAGCTGGATGGAGGGCTGCCTTGACTCCTTCGCATTTTCCCCGGCACCATTTCCCTTCCCAGAAGACCTTAAACATCCATTTAATGCTGGGTCTCTTGTGATTTTTCTCCTTCCCAAAGACAAGCCAAACGGCTCCTGGGGCAGATTGTGGACCGCTGTCGGAATGGACCCGGCTTTCACAATGACATAGATGGCAACAGCACAATCCAAGAGCTTCTCATCCCTGCATCTAAAGTGGGTCTGGTCATCGGCAAAGGAGGAGAAACTATCAAGCAATTGCAGGTGTGTGAGCACCATGTGGTGCTGAGCTGAACTGACCTTGTACATAGTAGAGCCATGGCTCCCTTCCAAAACTCTCCTAACATAGGGCAGGAGAGACACCATAGGAGAGCATGGAGTTGGGGCTTCTAAAATATGCTCCTTGTTAACATTGATTCTGTGCTCTCAAATATGCTCGTTCAGATGGACTAGGGGCACATACCTGGAATTTCAGCACCTGAGGGGCCTAGGGCAGGAAGATCAGGAGTTCAAGACCGGCTTAGGTTACATAATGAGTCTGGCGACTTCCTTGACTCCATGAGACCCTGACTTGGCGGGGGTGGGGGGCGTTTATAACTGTGGTGACACAGGCCTGGAGGCTAGAGTGGGAAGAATGTATGTCAGAAACTGTCTCGGGCTATATATAGTAAAACCCTATTTCAAAACATGGAGCAAACAACTATGGAAGTCCAACCGTGGCAGACGCCTTTCTCCAGCATCCCAGCAGCACTGCAGGACACCGGAGGAGGTAGATCTCTGGGAGTTCCAACTTCTCAGGGCTACATGGAGGGACCTAAAAACAACAATAAAAGCCTCAAAGTGCTCGTTTACTTTCAAGTGCCCAGGGTTCTTGTCTATAGAAAGGAGAGTGACCGCATTAGTGTAGTCAGAGCTGGGAGATATTACCTATTCCTTGACACCCGTGAGTCGCCACGAAGAGACAGCTCTCAGCAGTCGAGAATGTTTGAAATTGAACATCTCCAGCTAAGGCAGCCACACTGAGCCAAGAATGTTTTAATACTCACTTGAATGCATGTTATACTGAGTTTTAAGCAGACTTCAGAACTCTGGGATGTGACAGCTGGCAGTGATGGCCTGTTTGTCATACCCCAAGCCTCAGATTTGTAGAAGACCTCCTACAACATAGGGTAAATTGTAAAAGCTTAGGATTTGTTATCACAGAACCCATATTTCAGCCAATTAGCCTTGAGTGGTTTGAGACCCCATTTCACCTATGCCTAGGAGGCAGCAGCACTTGATTGCATGGTGGGCACAGGTTGTCATCAGCAAATGATAAGCAGAACACATAGCTTAATGTGTAGCACTCAATGGGAACAGCTCCCCAGAGTTCAGATGCTCCAGACATGAGTAAAGAGGATGGGCACATTGACATTTTGTCTTGTGTGATATTTGTCAACCTTTGGGAGATGAGACATAGACAGGATAAACTGACCCAATTCTGCTTTCTCTCATGACGTTGACGGCTGTGTGGTTGCATGTTTCCCAACAGGAGCGGACAGGTGTGAAAATGGTCATGATCCAGGATGGCCCACTGCCCACAGGGGCAGACAAGCCTCTCCGCATCACTGGAGATCCATTTAAAGTTCAGGTAGGAAGGAACTTGTGAGTTAGATTTGTCTGGCCCAGTGCTTTTCAACCTTCCTGATGCTGTGATCCTTTAATACAGTTCCTCATGTTGTGGTGACCCCCAACCATAAAATTCTCATTGTTACTTTACAACTGTAATTTTGCTGCTGTTATGAATCATAATGTAAATAACTTTTCTGGTGTCTTAGGTTGACCCTTGTGAAAGGGTCATTCAACACCACCACCATCCAAGTAGTTGTTGACTGCTAGTGGTACCTCTTTGGGGAAATGTGATGGAGATGTAATCTCCAGCTATGCCCAGTGCCAAAGCCACTGGCTAGATGTGTGACCACATAAGAACAGGCCCCTGGCTGGAACAGTCCACACACTAGTTTTTTACATTGCAGATGATACTAGACAGCCCATATTAAGTATACTGTTAGTGTTGCTGTGCTGTGGTCAGCTTAAATTCAGACCAGCTGGAGGTGCAGATGAAAACAAGTGTCAGGCATGTTTACCCTCAACACAGCTTCCTGTGCTGAGAAAGCAGAGTTCAGCCTGTGACTGCACACTTCATCTTGCTGGTACAGAAATGTTAAGTGTCAATGGGTGTGTATTGTCAGTGAAATTCTAGTGTTCTGTCATCTGCAGCCTGTCTTCTTACTGCATCTAACCTGTCATGCTTCTTTAAGAGCATTGGTACTGGGTGGTGCGTGCCATTAAAGCACTCAAGAGGCAGAGGCAAGCAGATCTCTGAGCCTCCAGAGCAACCAGGGCTACGCAAAGAAACTCTGTCTGGGATAGGGGAGCAGGGTATGTGGACTTTGACCCAATGAGGTTGGCCAGTCCCTCAGTTTCACTCCCCTCTTCCCTCTCCCTTCAGCTGTTCTCACTGCACAAGGGTGGTACTGGTGAGAGCTAGGTAGAGGGAAGTCAGTACTATAGCTCCTCCCTCCCTTCAGGCCAGCTGCTTCAGTGCCTCTCTCTTCCCCAGAGCTTCCGACCTTCTTTAAAATAGGATTACTGGGTAATCTTAGTTTAGGGAAGTAGAGAGCAGTAGATCCTGGGAACTCTCTGGTCAGCCAGCATAGCCTCCTTGGAGACCTTGGGGCCAGTGAAAGGCCCTATCTTAAAAATCAAGGTGTACAGCTCTAGAGAAGCAATGCCTGAGATGGTCCTCTGGCCGCCTCCTGCCAACACAAACATAGGTGCAAATCAGATTGCTTCTTGTCTTTGCACGAGTCAAGTTTCCAGGTGTGAGCTGCGGTCTCCAGCCACTGTGTCACAGTTTACTCAGTGCTGGGGTTGAGCCTGGACCTTCGTGTGTGGTAGAACCACTCCACAAACACGTACACCCCCAGCTTCTTGGAAAGTGTCTTCAGGAAAATGCCCGTATTTTATTGGCTTTTATTCATAAGTTTGCAGGGAAATAATTGTGATTTTAAGGTCTTCACTTCTTTTCCTTTTGTTTGGCTACAGTCCAAGGCATTGAACCTGAAGTCCTAGGCAGGGTAAGCAAACACTAAGTTCATTTCTTGTGAAAAACAGGACAGTGAGATCTGCCTCATGCTTTCAGGTCTGTGAGGCCATCTTAAACAGAGTTTGGTAACTGCTGCAGTTCAGCTGGCCTGGGGTGTGGCTCAGTCATATACTACATGCCTAGGATTGTGCGTGGTCCTAGGTTCCAAACCTAGCACTAACAGGTCTAAGAGTTCTGAGGGCAGAAGCTGTCTCTGTGGCCTGTGCTGCCTGTTCTCTGACTCAAGGGAGCCTCTGCTAAAAACATTTGGGGCAACTGGAAAGCTTTCTACCCACCTGCAAGTAAGTGGGCATCTCCTACAGTTTGAACCTTAGAGTGGATGGACAACGTGCCCTAAGACTCTCATCCTTGGCAGCACTGAATACCTTCACAGTCTTGGATCTCATTGATCCTGATCCTGGCTTTCCACCTGGTGCTGTCCTTTTCCAGGATTTTTCCCCATGGGTGCTTTTTGTTTTTGTTTGTGCAGCAAGCAAGAGAAATGGTCCTAGAGATCATCCGAGAGAAGGACCAGGCTGACTTCCGGGGTGTGCGTGGCGATTTCACCTCCCGAGCAGGAGGAGGTAGTATAGAGGTGAGCTGGACCCACAGGTCAGTGGGCAAACAAGGTTGAGTTTAAAGCCAGCCTGGTTTACATAACAAGCCCAGACCAGCCAGGGCTACATAATGATATGGTCCTGTCTCAAAAAAGAGTGCTGCTAAAATCTCTGGTCACACTTTTCTCAGCTCCTTAGCCTCAAACTGGTTATGTTGGTTTTTTTCATCTTGAAAACTTAAGAGTATACACACTGCTCAAGGATATGAAGGGAAACAAGCATGAAAAACCAACCGCCTTACAGAGCAGGTCCCTCCTGTCTCAAGAAACCAAAACAAATAAACAAAAACTTGGAATCTTGTTTTATTGATGAGATGAAATAGTGTCAAAATCTGATCTACAATTTGCGTTTATGCTACTACGCGCAAACATGATGCCTGTGCGGTGAGCCAGATTCACAGTGGCCACGCTGGACAAGGTGGAGTCAGGCAGAAAGCACAATAGAAGCAAATGGCGTTGTTAGTGGTACCGAGTTTCTGTGGTGACCCATAGGCACCGGGTCTAGGTGATGCTGCTGGTCACTCCACAGCTTCATAACTGTATCTGAGGCCATTGGGCGCCACACTTCTGAGTGACCAAGTGGCAAATGCTGCAGCCTATGATTTTACTACAGTTTTACAGATGAAGAACAAAAGACTGTAAAAGGCCGCAGGTATAGCCAATGTGATATATTTGTATGCATTTCCATAGAATTTGGGAGATAAAATGTTATTTAAGTCTTTTCTCTGAAGGAGCTTTATTTTATAACTTTTGTGGTCAGATTGTGTATTTTTCCCATATAGTTGTGAATAATATAATCTCACAGAAACTGTTCTAAAAGGAAAAAATGCTTTATTATTTTAAAATTTTTTGCTTTAAAAAGAAAGGCCAGGTGCTGCAGAGGTGGCTCAGCAGTTAAAAGCTCTGGCTGTTCTTTGCAGAGGACATGAATTCAGATCCCAACACCCACACAGCAGCTCAAAGCCACCTGTAACTCTAGCTCTACACTGCCTCTGTAGGCACCTGTACTCATGTGCGCGTGCATGCGCGCGCGCACACACACACACACACACACTTTTTTAACTGGGCAGGAGAGATGGGCTAACTGCTCTTCCAGAGGACCCAGTAAAATTTTCAGCACCTACATGACAGCTAATAGCTGTCTCTGACTCCAAGATCTGGCACCTTCACACAGATAAACATTCAGGCAAAGAATCAGCATGCCGGGTGGTGGTGATGCATGCCTTTAATCCCAGCACTTGAGAGGCAGAGGCAGGTGGATCTCTATGAGTTTGAGGCTAGTCTGGTCTACAAGAGCTAGATCCAGGACAGGCTCCAAACAACAGAAACACTGTCTCGAAAACAAACAAGCAAAAAACATAAATGTGCATAGATAAGAATAAACTTTTAAAAATTAAATCTTTACAGAGTCACATGTGAAAACACTCTGATGGGTTTGTCTGTCTGTCTAGGTGTCTGTGCCTAGGTTTGCTGTTGGGATTGTCATAGGAAGAAATGGAGAAATGATCAAAAAGATCCAGAATGATGCTGGCGTGAGGATCCAGTTCAAACCAGGTTTGTTTGGTGTTAGATCTACCAGTGGGCTGTGTTAGCCATGTGTTTGTTTTTGTTTCTTTTTGTTTTGTTTTTTTTTTTTTTTTACAATCTCTGTTCCTCCCTAGTCGTTGTGTCTTTTTAGTTGTGTACTGGTTTGATCTTCTTTCTGGCCTGTGGTTTCTAGCCACCCCACCTCCACACACATCAAATATATGAAGACTTCAGCATGGCTTTTCCAGTTCATAATATTGCTAAGTGACGATTTCTTTACAAAATACACTATTTTGATCTTATACAGTCAGGCATAATTTAATACCACAGTGAAGGATAAACACCTTTCGTGGAAGGGACGAAGATCTTACTGTGTTGCTTAGGCTGACTTTGAGCTCGTTATTGTCCTGCCTTAACCTCCCAAGTGCTGGGTCGTCTGTACTTGCACAGTGATTAAGTGTTATTCTGACACACATAAAATGGCACGCTCGTACACAGTTCTCATCACACTGCTCTGAGGGTTTAGACTGTGAGACAAGACTTTATTTGTTGTTTGACCTCAGGCTTTTCCTTCCCCTCTCTGATCTGATTCACAGACGACGGGATTAGTCCAGAAAGAGCAGCACAGGTCATGGGCCCTCCAGACCGGTGTCAGCACGCCGCGCACATCATCAGTGAGCTCATCCTAACAGCGCAGGTGGGTGCAGCACTCCGGGGTCTCAGAGCCGACCCAGAAACACATAGTTCACCATGGTGCTCTGACCACTCAGGCCCCTAATTGGAGCTCAGAGACATTTTCCACATCTGTCTCTTCCTGCCTATGTGCTTTTCCTTACTTGTTTGTTACCCTCTGCCTTGATTGCCCAGAATCTAGGTTTTTCACTACACATTTATTTGTGTGTGTGTGTGTGTGTGTGTGTGCGCGCGCGCGCGCGCGCGCGTGCACGTGCATACATGGCATAGCATGCATGTGACAGTCAATTCTCTGGAGACTCCATCATGTATGTCCTAAGTATCAAATTTAGTTGTTAGATTTGGTTGTTAGGGCAAATCGTTTCACTTAACCTAGGTTTTCTTTATACAAGCAGCTATGTCCTGTCCGTGGCTCATAGGTCATATACACCCTAGCTATAATTATACAGAATTGCAAACTTATGTAAAGCTTTTGAGGTTTTTTATTTTTATTTTTTAATTTAACCTTTTGTTTGGGTAATCATATTTACTTCATGTGTATGAGTGTTTGCTTGCGTGTGTGCATACCACATGTGTATAGTACCCATAGAGGCTGGAAGAGGATATCAGATCTTCTGGAACTGGAATTACGGGTAAGCCATCTGACATGGGTGCTGAGAACCGAACCTGGGTCCTCTGCAAGTGCTCTTTACCGTGAGCATTTCTCCGTCCCCAGCTCTGTGGTTCTGAAGTGTGAGCTTTGTAGATACAGATGATGGTGTCACAGCAGAACCTATTCTGTCCCTGATGGCCCATGGCTTCATACACCTGGGTTTTGCTGTTGATGTTTTGGTGGGCATTTTGATGCAGGCCCTGACCCTGTAGTGCAGACGGGCCTCAGTTTTATGGTGATCCTTCTGTGTCAGCCTCTCAAGTATTGGGATTGGAGGTGTGTTCCCCTAGTCCTGCTCTTATACTTGGTTCCAAGCTTGTCTTTAGAATGTAGGTGAGTTTGTGTGTGTGTGTGTGTTAGTGACTATTAATCTGAGGGCTTGTAATATTTACACATGTCAATAGTGTTAGCACACCCTCCAGGCCTGCAGGAGTGAACACTACCTGTAACTAGAGTCAGAGGTCTGAGCAGCCTGTTGGGAATCATCCTATCTACTTCTTTGTTAGCTCGTGACCTCTGACAAGTTCTGAGGTACCTGCAGGGATTCTGCCTATATTGGCAGCACCAGACCAAGGGTTTTCACCAGGACATGTGCCAGGTGTGGCTCTCGCCAGCAGTCTTAGCGTGAAGGGCTGCTTCTCAGTTGTAAATGTGTACCTCCTGTTCAGTCCCTGATTCACCTGTGTGTGGATTGGGTTTTAATCAGAGCCCAGGTGGTGTGTTGGGGTTGAACTTAGTTCACACCTTTTCTGTATAATTTTGAAAGCTACAGAGCCACCTTGTTCTTGTATCCACCTTGGAAAAGCTGGCTGCCCGTGCCAGAGTCTCACCGGAAACCCTCAGAGAACTGTTTACTTGTTAGGCTCCCAGCTTCTAGGTGAATGTGCAATTGGTTCTCCATAGTCAGCAGGCACTTCTTCACTATGCCAGCCTGCTTACTTTGACTGCAGGTTCACTCCGCACCCAAGAGTGAGGCCGGCTGCCTTTGAGTGCAGTGGAAGGAGTCCTCCCATTATTGGTGTCACTCTAACGATTCCTGGACACGCCTCTGTCCCTCAATCTTTTTGATTTTTCAAGACAGGGTTTCTTTGTTGCTTTGGAGCCTGTCCTGGGACTTGCTCTGTAGACCAAGCTGGCCTCAAACTCAGAGATCTACCTGCCTCTGCCTCCCGAGAGCTGAGAGTAAAGGTGTGCGCCACCACTGCCCAGCTTTCTGTCCCTCAGTCTTAAAGACAGGCTGGCTTTCCAACACATACTCCTCCTGCCTCAGCCCTCTCCCCCTAATTCTCTGGGGTTTTGGACATCTGCCACCATCCTTCCTAAGAAATCATTCTCTTGAGGATTTTTCTACACATTCTTGGTAATAAGACCATCTTTTTTAAAAAATTATATTTGTGCTCACTCATTATATGTGCATGTTCACATGCCATAACCTATGTGTGGAAGTCGAAAGACAACTGGCAGGGTCTGGGTCTCCCCTCCACCAGGTGTCTCGGGGTCAAGCTCAGGACCACCTCACCATACTGAGAACTTTTTCCTTGAGTCCTTTTGTCCTTTCTGCTGGTCCTTGTGGAGAAGTAGAGTCACGCACTGCCCCTCCTGCCACTCTCAAATGCTATATCCATTATCTGCTGACAGACCCAGCGTGAGTTAGCCTCAACTTCAAGTAAAGCCTAATCTTGAGGGCCTTGTAATGAAAAGTAGACGGTCCCAGGCTTCTGCCCAGAGTTTCTGGCTTCTGGTTTTAAGCAGGTATTTGGATGTTGTGTGCGTCCACAGGTATCTTTTTATAACAAAATGTTGATTAATTCTGTTCTGAATTCGAGCTTCCAAGTCTACAATGTCGAGGGTCCAGTGTGTGGTGTTGGTGTATTCTGTCATTAACCGTCTCACCAGAAAGCACTGCTGATGCAGTGGCAGATATTCTCACTGTTACCTTTCTTCCTTACCAGGAAAGAGATGGCCTTGGAGGCCTGGCAGTAGCTAGAGGAAGAGGTCGTGGCCGTGGGGACTGGAGTGTGGGCACTCCTGGCAGTGTCCAGGAAATTACATACACAGTGCCAGCTGATAAGTGTGGCCTTGTAATAGGCAAAGGTAAGAGGCAACTGTTGGGGTTTCTGTCCCCTACAGTTGCTCAAGGGAGGGGAAACCAACTCTGAGGCCTATATTTATGGCATCCTCTGGGGTCCCTGACTTGGCTTGTTATGATAGAGGCAACACACCTGTTTGGGTATGGGCAAGCAGGAAATTAAACCTACCATCTAGATATGTTCTGCTGTTCGAGACTGGGAGGTGTGGGCCTCAGGCTCTTGTCTGTAGACTAGAACGAACTTAGCCATGTGAGGTCATCACTCGTGCCTTCTGCAGAGTGCTTTCTGACATGAACGTTAAACTTTCCCTCACTGGATTTGCCCACTTGGTCTTCGTGGACAGCATAGGAGCCTTTCAGTAATGCCGATACCCTGTGAGGAGAGTAGAAATTGACTTGCTAGTTTCTCTTAGACATTTGGGGGCAATTTGTAACATTGGGTAGAACACCTCATTCCTGCCGGCACAGTACCCTTCTTCCTGACAGCTAGGAGGGAGCAGGCAGCATAGGCCATGGGCCACTGAGACTTGGCTGGCATTCCTGGGATTGCTGAGCTGAACTTTGCTACCAACAGGGCTTCTGTTTGACATTGGCTTTTGTTTTCCTTCACTGTTCATTTGACAACATAGGGAGAAAATGACTTCTCTATAGAGTCCCTAAGATTTCTTGTTATAGGGAATGAATGTGTCTTGGGCTTGTAGATCTTAGCACGTAGATCTTAGCCCCATCCGTGTGACCTTTGGAGCTAAAGTGGGTATTACCACCATGGAGCCCTGTAGTTACCGCTCCTCGGGGAAGTGTTTGTGCTTGTTCAAGGTATTACTCTCCTCTAGCCACGTCTTTCAGATTATTGGGTGGTAGGAATGGTGAACAAGGGTTTTGGTTTGAGGCCAGGCTGCTTCTATATTGTGACCCTCTGTCCCAGCCTCTAGGTCAGTGCTTCTCAGTCTTCCTAGCACTGTGACCCTTTAATTTCCTCATGTTATGGTGACCTCAACCATAAAATTATTTCATTGCTATGCCATAGCTCCTGTTATGAGTCATAGTGTGAATATCTGGTATGGAGAATATTTACTGTCACCCCTGTGGGGGTCGTGACCAACAAGTTGAGGAACTCTGCTCTAGATGCTGGAATTGAAGCATAGTGACTAATGGAGCAGTTTGTTTTTGTTTTCTGGTACATGCTGCCAAGTGTGTCATTGATCCTGCTAGCTACTTAGAATGGTAGACATTCCCACAGCCCATCGAACCTGTTGGCAATACTAAGAGATTCAATTCACCGATACTTACAGATAAGGGATCAGTTATGTGTGTCTGGGCCTTTTGAAACCATCTTGTGAGTGATAACTCTCATTTGAGTGTCTGAGCAAACCCTGGCAGAAGCACCCCATCTGTGTGCATGTATGTGGTATCGTTGTCCGTCCTCCACAGAGCCACCCAAGTAGTTCCTAGAGGACAGTGACAACAGAGTGACGTGGTGGCTGACACCCTGCTCCTGTGTTCACTCACAGTCTGGGACCCATAAACTAGGGTGACCGTGGCGAGGATCTCTCATGTGAGCAGTTTCCTTTTCTTGGGAAAAGCATGTGGCTAAAAGAGAGAGAGCTCTCCCAGCTTCTGCCCTTGGACAGCCTCCCGGGCCCCTGCTGGATTTCCATGATAAACACAGCAACATTGACAGATAGTCTGGCCAGCCCTGCTCTTGTCAGCCAGGCCTTTTAGCAGCTTTGATTAATTGCTTTACGATTTCACATCCAGCCGGGCGCTGGTGGGTCACTTCTGCCCCCCATCAGGTGGAAGAATGGAGCAGGCTGCTGAATGAGTCCAAGACAGCCACCATGTGCCAAACTAGTGACCTCATTTTGAAGGAAGATGAACTTAAATTAACTCCTTCTGGCCCCATGCAGTTTTGCAGTGCCTCCGTATCCAATTAGCATGCTCCTGAGGTCCCGGAAGAGCATCTTGGGCTGCTGGCCCAGCTAAGGTGGGCTGCTGGGAGCTCTGCTGCCTGCGGCCTGCCAGTCCTCAGTCTCAGGCACACTTGTTCTTGCCTGCTGGCCGGGGGCCACCTGAGATTGGACTGATGCAGGTGCCTGTGGTCAAGGTCTCTGTTTCTTCTTTGTTCCTCATTGAATCTACAAAACTTGATTGGGAGCAAGCTGCTCACTCTTCATGGGGCAGAGATGATGAAGGCTGTGGCCTCTGAGAAAAGGGTCCTGGAGCTGCACTGGGCATGTAGCAAACACTCACCTATCATCCTGTGCTCAGTGAGCCTGACTGCTCTGCTTCAGGAAGGCTCACTATTTTTGTTTCGTGACCCTTCCACATGGAATAAGACAAACTTGTCCCCGCTGTTCTCCATCTGCCTCACCTTGGTGGTGTGTGTAGAGGAACCTGCATGTGCTGAGGAAAGGTTAGCGTGTGTGCAGCAGCCTTTGGGATATGCTGCAGTGTGTTCCACATGTCATTTCACGCTGAGTCTGATTGAAAATGGGTAGGGGCACCTAGCACTGGCACGTGGCCTCCCTGCTCTTCTTACACCAGACCTTCAACATTTTATCTTCTTCAATTTTATAAGACTTACTCTCCAGGTTTTCCGTGTATTCTGTCTATACTCGACTCCCACAAAGTTGGTGGAGTAGATCTGTAAGTTCTGTGAAATTTCAGAAGAATTGGGTCATTGTTCACCGGCTGGTGGAGTTTTTGTTACGCACATCTCATTAAAAGACTGAGTCTTGCTGATTTTCAGAGAGAACAACTATATTTCCATCACCCTGCTCCATCCAGGCTGTGCCCCGCCTCCTCTCTCTGTGTACTGCTTCTGTCTGAACCTTCCCCCCCCCCCCCACCAAGGCAGAGGAACCTGAGAGGGAACAGGGTGTGATATTAAAGGCCAGAGTGGGCTCCAGGCATTGTTGGGGCCTGTAGCCGCCCATTTGACCTGTAGAGGGAGGGCAGCCCCTACCCAGGCTGAAGGCTCCATTGTTCATGGTAGGGCCATCAGGTCTCAGATCTCACAGTGAAAAGGATCAGCCTCCTCTGGGTGGACTTCAAGGCAGGAATGAGTTCAGTGGCCAGCAGATCCAAGGGCCTTGGGCCCAGACCTTCCTATGCCCGCAGGCCTCAGTCCAGTTCCAAATGGTCATCTTCACTCCAGATAGCTAGTGTTGCAAACAAGAAGCCCTAGATTTTGTCAGGGCCCTTTTGTGCAGGAAGCAGAAGAAAGTGGCTGTCTGTGGGCAAGAGATAGATAACATGTACCTTCCAGCCTCCCCTAAACATAGGCCGCATAGACTCAGGGCCACCTCTGGTCCAATCAACTGTATCTCCTGCCTGCAGGGGGCGAGAACATCAAAAGCATCAACCAGCAGTCAGGTGCGCACGTGGAGCTTCAGCGGAACCCCCCTCCTAACACCGACCCCAACCTGCGGATATTTACCATCAGGGGTGCTCCTCAACAGATCGAGGTGGCCAGGCATCTCATAGATGAGAAAGTTGGCGTACGTACACGGGCCTTTCCCCACCTGGCTTATACTAGCTGGATTTGCTTTTGGATGTCCAAGGTACCTGTTTTCCCCCAGAGCCTTGTGCTTCCTGCGCCTTTCCATCCTCGCATCACATGGGGGCAGCCTCTCCTCCTCTGCCATAGGGAAAGTCCAAGGCTCAGGGAATGCCAGGCCCAGATGCAGTGAAAGAAGCATGTGGCATGACTGGCCACAGCTCCAGCAGTCACACCTCCGAGCATGTCCCCGCAGGCATAGATGAGCAGCCGGACAGCAGCCTTCCCCCAGCACTGCCCCCAGGTCCCTCAGGCGTCACCCTGGCCACCAGCCCTGCAGGCAGATTTCATTGACTCTGGCTTTAGTTTCAGGCACCTCAAAGCAGATAAAGAAAGGGAGTGTTGATGGAGGACAGATGGGCCACTGCTCACCTCAATGGGGACGTAGAATGGCAGAAAGAGCCCTGGGCCAGCCTAAATTGACGGGAGAGTCAAGCAGGTTGGTCCTCCCACAGGGTGACATGCCAGGGTAATCGTGGTGGCGACTGGCTGTGTGGTGGTCTTGGTCACTTGAGGGGCAGAGCCACCACTGCAGACACTGTCTGCTGGGGGAAGGAAGCTAGTATGAGCGCAGAACTGTCTCCTTCACTTGACTTGCCTCCCATAGTGGGCTTCCCTTGGGCGGGCCTGGGCAGAGGGTACGGAAACACGGTGACAGGGGTGAGAGCTCCTCTGTGCCCACACAGGGTGCCGGCCTCGGAGCCCCTGCAGCCTTTGGACAGAGCCCCTTCAGCCAGCCACCAGCTGCGCCACATCAAAAGTGAGTCTTCTGCCTCCGTCTTGGTGGAAGGTTTATTACCTGTCCAACCTCCCCTGTCCTGCTTCTCAGAAGTGTTTGTCTAAGTCCTGGGCAGGGACGGCAGCACTGTTTTCCTCTCCTTTCAGTGGGTAACTGAGCAGTCAGGGTAGAGCCTCAGAGCTTGGGGTGTGTGGACGAAGGGAAGGGGTTTGAAAGGGCGGCCCTTCCTGCACATCAACTGTTGTCCTCCTTCCCTACAGCGCCTTTCCTCCCAGGGGCTTCCCCAACATGGCAGCCAAAGTTAACGGGAACCCCCACAGCACCCCTGTGAGGTAGGTGATTGATTACCTGTCCCTCTGCCAGTAGGAGGGGGAGGGCATCAAACAAAGAGAAGGATGATTGGAAAGCAGGGGGAGGGCATGTGACCCGTGCTGTCGCCAAGGACTCTTCTGTCATCCACAGTGGCCCTCCAGCTTTTCTGACCCAGGGCTGGGGCAGCACTTACCAGGCTTGGCAGCAGCCCACACAAGTCCCAAGTAAGTGACTGGAGGGTGAGGGTGTGCGCCAGGCGGCCTGCTTGAGGCTCACAGATTGAGGGAACTGAGGGCAGGAGGTGTTCTGCTTCATCTTGGTTTAGCTCCTCCCCAGAGATGGGGCCCAGGAGGCCCAGCATGTGGGAATGCCCAGGAAGCTGAGACTACTTTCCCTGGCTCAGGGGACCCCCTCAGAGCATGGGGTGGGGCTGGAAATGACTGGGTGTGGTTAGGTGTGATAAGAGTCTCCTTTTCCTTCTGAGGGCTGAGCTGCAACTGGAACTTCCCTGGGCTCTGCTCTCTACAGCCCCCTCCCCTGCTGAGCACCCCTCTCACGCAGTCTTTTTGTATCATGGTGACCTCATTTCTCATCAGTGACTTAGAGAAGGGCCTTTCTGTCCCTTGGACTTCTGGGGAGACTAACAGAATTGTCTCTGCTAAGGCTACCTGGCCAGGACACTACTGAAAAGAGAGGGGCTGTGCAGTCTTCAGCCCCCTCCATCTCCACATCCAGCTCTGCTCTGACTTTCCCAAACATGGTGGCACAAGTGTCAAACTGTGACAGGTGCTTCCCTGTCAGCAAGGGCCCCTGATGGCATCCCCCATCTGTCACACTGGCCAGACTTCCCCTGCTGAGCTGGTAGCACTGGGTTCCTAGTTGTCACCTTCTCCAGCACTCTGCTATCTGCTCGCCTCGTGGAGCTGGTTCTCGCAGTGCTGGCCTGTCAGATACCGTTCTGCTCTGTGCATTACCTCGAGCCAAGAGGATGGCAGAATTGTGGTCCCATTTGCCCAGTTGTTCCCAGAGGAAGCCCTGAGAGGAAAGCTGCTTTTCCCTGTGCCCCCAAAAGGAACACTAGGGTGAGGGTTCAGCAGAACATGAAGCCCAGTTGATTGGCCTTGGTGTAGGTGACGAACAGGAGGAAGACAGAAAGGCTAGCAGCTTCCACCTGTCTGGCTGAACTCGGCCTGTGGAAACAGGTTGGAAGCAGTCCTGTGCACACCCTTATGTTTCAGGAAAGAAGACAGAAGCTGTTCCCCTGCAGCTCAGCAACTGTCGTGT